ATAAATATAATAGTACTGTCTGTTGTGTGTCCATGTAACTACTTCTATATAAATATAATAGTACTGTCTGTTGTGTGTCCATGTACCTACTTCGCAGGGTGTGGATGGACCTTAACCAAAATCGGCATGGAGGTTCATTAGGTCCATATGGGGGTACATAAAAATTTTCGGTGTTGCATTTAGCTAATATTATGGGTGTTTTTTTACCACTACTGCGCCCCCTGTGGACGGACCTTCGCCAAATTTGGTATGGAGTTTCATTGGGTCCATGGGGAGATACATGCAAACTTGCGGTTTCACCTTTTGTGTTTTGCAGTTTTATGGGCGTTTTTTTACAATTACATATAAGGGAAGCAACTTTTCAAGTCCTAAGATAACCTTTCATTAATCATGAATTTGCGTAACTTCCGTCCAGAGGACGGGTACTATAGCTAGTTTTACAATACATTTTAATATAATTTTAAACTTGCGTTTTTCTTTGTAAAATACTATATAAACATCTTTTGATAACAAGTTACTTTGAAATCATTATTATGGCATGAAGCATATATTTTTCACCCAGTTCTCTATTTAAAAACAAACATTCATATTGTCAAGTAACACAGTTTCCTAAAACACCTGTATTCGTACCTGCGATACTTTGATATTCATAGTAGGTCTAAACACAGATGTGAGAAACATAGTATTTAAAGTCGTTTGTTTTCATTTCTTACATTAACGTGCATACAGTGAATAATCACTGAAGAACAAAAAAACAGGTCACATACTACCAATGAATTTTATTGTATGGTACTTAATATCACAATCAAATCACTGACACAATAATTATGAAATATCCAACAGCTGTTTAAATTCGGAGTTATTTACATTCTTCCTTTAAGCAAAATACAGCAACTGTTTGATTAACAATATATAATAATATACAAAGAATACTGCTTGAATGTTTACAAACTTACAACAATGACACATTTAAATTTAAAATAATCATATTTTTGGAATAAAAGAACACATGAAAACATTTCCAAAGAAAAATAAGTTATTCAAAGGGAAGTAAACAAAATGTGTGGTAAATTCAGGTGATGAAAAACAACAATGGCTTTTAAATGTTCGAATTGAAACATTACAATAATATCAAGTTATTAATCAATTTAATTTGCTAAACAAAACTTTTTTGATTCGTGACCAAAAAAAAAAAAAACTAATCACACGTGCCGTAGTGGAAGGTAAAAACTTTGAATTGAAGAAATATGAAGACTGAATGCCTCTTAAGCCTAATACAGATATTGTTGGTTAAGATTTTGATGTTGGAACGGGAATGGCAGAAGCTTTCCAAATTATGACCAAAATAAGTTATTCTATATTCTCTAGCCTTTATTACATTAAAGTTTGTGGACAAGTCCTTTTACTAACTGTTATGTTTTACTTATTAAACCACTAGTAGTTAAACAATATCGTTTCATATTAAAAAGAAATAATAATAATAACGAGTTTTAATTTTAAACTCTCTTTAATACAATATTTTATCATTCCAAGTTTAAATCTTAAGCTTTATTAGGGTTGATTAATGAGCAACAAATTGATAAAGAAATACTGAAGTTTTTTGTAACCCTTTATATGCTTTTACACTAAAACATTCGTTTCATGCGAATTAGTTTTAAATAGTTATCAACACATGAAAATCAGTGATAGAAACTATCACGAAAATATTCAAGCTATTGAATATTAATTAATCAATAAAACCTTACACTTTTCAATAGGTAAGCCTAACTTCTTCAGGGTTGCCTTTACCCTCCACCTGGTAATAGTAATGGGGTTTTATGGTGTGTTTTTTTTAAGTATTTGATCATGGGTATATTTGAACATATGTCCTACACTGAGGAGATTTTACGAAATTTTAAAATTAATTAAAAAAATATATATCAATTGAAAAGTATGACAAAGAGCTATATTTATACAGTTGGAACTTAGTAAAATGGATTTTCTTTTCAATCAATACATTTCATTACACAGATAAAGAGTGCTAATGACAGTATAAATATTTTTTTTCTTCTTATGTTGGTTAATTATTTCTGTTAAGACAATAAGATAAGAATAGGGAAAAAAAGTTACAATTAGGGGCTACTGGTTGGATGAAAGTTTTTACAAAGTTTGCTATTCACAACCTATTTTTTTATGTATATATTTATACTTTTTTTTACAACACAAGTTACTTTTTAGAACATCAATATTCTTACAGGATGCTTTCTAGCAAACAAAACTGTTTAAATGCACATATAAATATATGTATGACAAACTTATATACTGAAGTGTAAAGTTGGGACAACAAAAAGTAAAATATTACATTTTTTATGTATATAAAATGTCTCACACTGTAGCACCAAAACTAGTAATACTCTTGTAATATTCCATTACTGGCTACAAATCACACTTCACAGACAGGAAATTTGAGCAGTTTACTTTCTGAGCTTTGTAACACATTTTAGAACTTTGTTTTTTATACAAATTAACACACTGACCAACAAAGAACAGGTACAATATCACAATATTAGTGATAGTATTTTCTTTCTTTCTGGGATAATTGTCAGTATCCAGATGAAGCCCTGCGTGAGCGAGCCGATTCAGATAAATTTGTTTGACAGTCGGTCCATCTGTAGTTAAGAAAGTTTGTCCAGGTTGCTACATGACTTGGAAGCATGATGGCTGAAAGTCAAACAAAACATAGACATTAAAACTAACTAGAAGAAGAGAACATTCAAAATTTCCAGAAGAGTGACATAACAAGAACTAATTCCAAAACTAAAAACGAACTTGTAGTGTCTACCTACGTGAAAAGTACAAATACAGCAGCACAGTAAGAAAAAACTAACTCAATCATTATAAATTATTCACATTCTCCAACATCCACCACCTCGAGACATGCTTTAATCGCATCATGAGGGTTGTATACACAACACAACTTATCTTACATCTGAAGAAAATGACTTTTATATCAGTATATAGTAAAATAGGTGTATCATTTGCTAGGACATCATGAAAACTTAAAGAACAAGAATGTATTAAAAGAAGCATCAGCTGTATGTATCTTTTACCTCATAGTAATATTTATGTCTATATTATTATTTCAGATACCTGGAATCATTTTGCTGGCTCATAATATTTATAATTTCTCTTTATGAGTTTTTCCAACAGGATCTGTTTAGATAACAAATCTTCACAAAATAAATCATTCAGTTTTATAACCAAACAACCAACCAATAAGCAGTACAAATTCAGTTAATCTAAATATATATTCATCTATCAGTTCTATATTTTATTGCAACAAGCATTTAAACCCACCTTTTTTTATTAGCAATCCTTCTACCTATATGAAGTATTATGGTACCTTGTTTAATACGTTTAAATGTAGTAATAGCTTCAGCATGAGACATTCCTTGCAATGGTTGACTGTTGATCATAAAGATTTCGTCTCCTGGAAAAGATGTTATAAATTATTAAATCTACGATGAAATAGTCGAACATAAGTATAGAGTTGATTTAAATTATTTTTAAATGTGTGTTTAATTTTTCATATGGATGTTTACTCTGAATATCCCACAGCATACTAATAATAACTGATCTTACACTACTGCTCCGAGTGCAACAGAACACTACTGCTCCGAGTACAACAGATCAGACATCTTTTAGAATGAAATGTTTGATATCAAAGTGATAAGCAAATGTTCCTTTTATTTTTAAATATAACTGATATTTCTAAACATTACATTATTTATTTATTTCAGGTAGTATTACAAAACTGATCCATTTAAGCAGTGCAAATCTAATCTATCTTGTAAGGTTTTAGTATTGCATAAAATTGAAACATTTAATGTTCCACACTTATATCTATTTTACTCAAGTATCAATTTTCTTATTCCATACTTTGTGACTAAAATATGTCTTGAAATATTAAAATGGCAGAAAGAGACAAATGGATCAAATTTTTTATAACACAAGTATTCTTAGATAGTTAATATTTTACTCTAGTAGTACTAACATTTTTTGATCAATAACAAAAAACAGATATGGACACTCGCAGTAATTTTGCGACTTCACCTTCTTTTGTTACAAACTGTTATCTAAGATCTCTTTGTGTATCATGTGTTATTGAATTGATTTCACTATATTTATTAACTGTTTTATGTGAAATAGGCATAAGCCAGGTTTTGAAAATTTCACATCTAATAAAGAAAAAATAAATCATCAGTTACAAGTAACTTTTGTGAAAAATGTTATGTTTTCTAACATTTTATCACATTTGTTTAAAATAAAAATCCCAAGTTTAGGGTAAACTTGAGAACTGATTAAATTGTATAATTGGATTATAAGATACTATAACATGCCATGGTTGAAGAGTTAATGAACAGTATATTTTAAAAATCAATTTAGATACATTTATTTACTAACCTTCTTTCAACTTTCCACTCTCTGCTGCCTGTCCCGTAGAAAAGACTGTCTTTACATATATACCTATATCTCCTCTAGGCGAGTCCTTTCCTCCAACAATACTGAAACCAAGACTTTTACAACCAGGACCTTTTTCAAAAGCTGCTGTAAACATAGATAGCTGGGAGGACTTAGGTCTTCTTGGCAACGTACAATAATTGTTTTCTTGATCCTACAAAAGAAAGTTTGAATTCATAGTATTTAATACAGTTTTTGGTATCATAGGGAATTAAATATCTTAAACATTAACATTTTGACATTTATTTAAGTGACATAAACAGGGTGTACAAAGAAGTTAAAAATAGCATCCATCTTGAGCATGATATATACTAACACACTGTCTCTAAAATATAAGATTCTTTTCATCTGGAGTGATGAAGAAGTTTTCATCTGGAGTGATAAAGGCACGACAAACTCTAAAAAGAGTACAAAATTCAAATTTCAGGAAAATAATCAAATAACAAGACTCGGTCAACTGCTACAACCTGGCATTCCTCATATAACAAGACTCGGTCAACTGCTACAACTTGGACATTCCTAATATAACAAGACTCGGTCAACTGCTACAACTTGGACATTCCTAATATAACAAGACTCGGTCAACTGCTACAACTTGGACATTCCTAATATAACAAGACTCGGTCAACTGCTACAACCTGGACATTCCTCATATAACAAGACTCGGTCAACTGCTACAACTTGGACATTCCTAATATAACAAGACTCGGTCAACTGCTACAACCTGGACATTCGTAATATAACAAGATTCGGTCAACTGCTACAACCTGGACATTCGTAATATAACAAGATTCGGT